TTATAATATATCTGGGAAAAAAATCTCTAGAGATAAAAACTACCCGCAAATGATCTACGTTCAGTTTATAGCAATCATACTTTGGCTGGTTGAACTTAAATAAAGCCTGAAAACCATAGATAGATCGAATAATCATGGGTTAGGACTTCGATTTTGACCTGCATGACTGAATCCAGCGAACACAATCGAGTCAGAGCTTGGTTGAGCTGCCCAAATTGCAAAGTATCAAAACCGATGTCGCATCGAGCCATTATGGAGAAAAGCTAAAACAACCTCATACATAACTGGAGGAGTGATAGATAGAATTGAAAGCATTGCAAATTTTGAATTCTATGCAAAAAATGGAGAAACGGACTAACTACTAACTTTACCTTTTCTGGTGCGTTCCAGAAGCCGACTTGCCTAAGCTTTGGTAACTTAGCGAGCCAATAGCCAGCTTTATTTTCTGCATCACCTTCGTCCTCTCCTACCTCTGCAGATGATACCGTGTTCCAGAAAGACTGATAAATGCGTAAAAGCACATCCAAATCAAATCTAGTCCTAAATGTTGTTATCATAAGCATTACAGGATTAACGATACAGCTCTATCGTCTTGTGTTACGAATCTATGCTTATGACATCTGTGACTCAAATAATCGGAATAGCTCCGTAAATTAGGTTGCGTTCAGAGTAGCCCGTGCCAGCGCTGTGCTAGCGCATGCGCGACGTAGTCGAGAAATCTTAGGTTGGTGCGAAAGTTGTGTTGCACCATTACAAAAAATCGTGATTTCTTTCTGTTACAATGTTTTTGCATGACTTTATTCTCCTAGTGAACCAGGCATCGTAAAGGGCCAGATTCGCAGGCGCGCTTCGAGACCGCCCTCAGTTTCCCGCAATTGGAAGATTTTTGAATTGCGCTTGTCATTCTTTATATATTAATAATTAGAGAACATAGACTGTGCGCTTTCCAAAGGCGCATTGGAAGCTCTATTGCAAGCTCTGACTGCGGAGATAAGTGAGAAAAGGAAATCGCTCCAAATTCGGAATTCTGAGGCAAGCCCGTTAATCGCAAAACTGTACCATAAATCCAAAGCAGACAGTTACCTGAGTTTTTTGATACCCTCTTTCTAGATGAGCAGAATTTTCGCAGATCGAGAACCCTTTAGAAAAGTCATGGTTTTTGAGAAAAAATGCAAAAAATCTTTCTCTTGGAACAACTGATTTTTTGGCATTCTCAAGAACCATACTTTTTTAAGAGCAGCTCGATCGACGCAAATTTTGCTCATCTAGAAAATGGGTATCAAAGAACCTAGGTTACTGGCTGTTTTGGATGTTCTGGTACATTTTTGGAAAACGGCCTTGCCTCAAAATTCCGAAAATGGAGCGATTTCCGCAGTCAGAGCTCATTAGAGAGCCTGCAAAACGTCTTTGGAAGGTTTATGCTCTCTAACAAAATCAAAGCCATGCAAGAACATTGTGACAGAAAAAAGTTGTGATTTTTGATAATGGTGCGACAGAACTTTCGCACCAACCTAATACATCGCGTCCGTTCAGGTACAGCGCCAGCAAAACGACAAGTCTAGACTCTGCCTGACTCATTGTCGCCAAACCCTAGAATAACAACACAAACCAAGCACACTCACGGATTATCTGGAACTTTCAATCCCGTATAGAGGTTTTCGACATTGGGACATTTGCTCAACAACTGAAATCCATACACCGATTGCGCTTCCGCAGTTATCGACAGCAAGCGCAGTTTCGGAAATTTTGATTTCTGAAAAATGCAAGGTCAAAAAAAAACTTGTTTGCAAGTTTTTGTTTGCAACAAGTTTGCCTTGATAAGGTTGAGGAGTCAAGAATACGGAGTCGCGCTGTCGACTAATGATGAGATATTTGCCATTATAGTCCTTTCGAGATACTGATAACACATCCTATTAAACCTGCCAAACGGTATTGTGAAAGAAATTTGCCCT